AAGTATTTAAATTAGTTCAGTGGTCCTTAAACTGGCTGCACAGTAGAACCACCTGGGGAACTTAAAATCCTAGTGCCCAGGCCACACTCCAGACCAATTAAGTCAGAATCTTTGGGGATGAGATATAGGCTTCTGCAGTGTTTAAACTCCCCGGGCAATTCCAGTGTGCAGCCAACTTTGAGAACCACTGTTGTAGATCACAGTTCCCAGCTGTTTCTCCTACTGTTGTGTCAGAATCTATGTGCAGAGTAGGCTTTTCTTACTGTCTGAAATGATCAAAAAAGGTTGATGTATATGATGCCACTCCACATTTTGTAAATTTTAGGTAAGCAGGATGAGATTAAGGGAATATAATAGAACGCAGCATATTTTGAGAGTAAAATAATTGAGGGGTATATTCAGGAATACCAAGAGCAGGGAGCACGCATATAAATTCCATATTCAGGACAGAACTAGATTAGGGAAAAGTAGTTGCATATTATATGACAGAATAGCTAGAACAGATTAATATTTCTTTCAAATTAATAAGAAAATTAGAAAAATAAGCAAAGCATTACGAACAGTTGTAAAAAGGAAAAATAGTAAACGTAAAAAGAGTCTCAGCCTCACTAGTAATGAAAATTAAATCATTTCCCTAACATCCGATGAGCCAAAATAAGAAAGGGTAATTAAAAAATGTGAAGGCGACCCCTGGGGCTGCACGTGAACCCCCAGGCGCCCTGTGGCCTCGAGGCAGCTGGCAGGCAGGGGTCAGGACCTGCCCCAGCCTAGAGGCTGTGGACAATATACAGGTGACAGAGCTATGCTCTCATTTCCTTTTGGAAGCAAAATGAAGGAAAAACATGAAAACAAATTAAAGATTTAAAGCTTTTTTTTTTTTTTTTAACGTGTGAAGGGAGGTTTTGAAATAATGGGTATTGTTCTGTACCGTTGGTAGGAATAGGATTGACAAAGTCTTTTAGGAGGACAGTTAGGCAGTATCTATTAAAATGCATATACACTTTAACCAGCAATTCCACTTTTCTGCTACAGAAATACTCACAGGTGTGTTCAAAGAAGCATGTACAAGCACTGTAAACAACCTAAAAGTTTATCAATAGGAGAATGGTTAAATAAAATGGAAAAATCTATACTGTGGATACTAAGCAACTGTTTCTTTAAAAATGAGATTATTCTAGTTGTACTACTGTGAGAAGATCTCTATGGCAAAATGTTGAGTAGAAAAAGTGAGTTATACTAAAATATGTGAATACGTGTGTTTTCTTTCATCACATAAAACTGCCTTTCCAGCATGTATTTATGTAAATGCATAGAATTTGGCCTGTACGAAAGGATGTTCATCAAATTGATGCCTCTGGACAGGTGTCTAGATTGGGGAAGGGTAGATCAAAAAGAGAGCTTTGACTTTATCTGTGTTATTTAAATTTTTATACAAAAGAGTACAACTAGGATAAGGTAGCAGAAACTGACTAATCTGAGACTCCTTCAAAGAGAAGGTGGAATTTTAAGAGCATTTTGATTAATGGGAGGGAGACAGTGTAATGGGTAGATGGGGTATGGAGATAGAGAAGCAGAAGTGTTGGCTTGAGAGAGGAGTGTCTTCATTGGCTGTCCCTTGAATTCTCTAATTTTATCTTTCCTTCCAAACTTGTTCTTCCCATGTTTTTATGGGAATGTGTTTTATGGGAAAATGCGATTAAGAGAAACCAGTGTTTCTGCTAGCACTACTACCGAACATGGGGATATAGGATTGGTGTTTCTAGTAAGGAAAGCCACTTTCATTATCCCTATGAACAGAGGTCAGTGGTACAAATAATTACCAAAAGTGAGCAAAAAAATCATTTTGCTTTTATTTTCTAATGCCCTTTAAATATCCATTTGAGTATGATTGGGACTGTCAACCTGGAAGTTCATAATTTTAAATTACAGTTATGAAGCCACCGTCCGAAAATTCTTCACTTTTCCTTCCCTGCTACATTGCTGTTTTTCTGTAGGGTATAGAAAACATCACCTTTCAATGTGGTTTGATTTTAGCTACCTTCTCTTTAAATCTGTTACACATTCTCTGATCTCTTCAGTAGATATGGAGTTGGCAAACATTTTGCTTTGAAAGGCCGTTTCTTGGTTACTGAACCTAAATGGACATCTGGAGCCTCAAAATTCCTCATCTCGGGTACATGCAGAGCAAAGAGAGAGGAAATGGGAGGAGAAGGGTACTTGGGAATATATAAGGATAATGCATTGTTGGACAGCAAAGTAACAAAATTTACAAGTGGAAAATTTCTAGCATAGTAAGAAATATTGTTTCATTTTGGCCAGATTAAAACTTCCAGTTTTAGAAAATCTTTTTTTTAAACCATCTGTGATTTCCACATAATCTTTACTATTGATTGCCACTGGCATGAATTTAATATCTTTTTTCTTTGCTGAGTGTGCCCTGGAAGGAGTGGTATTTTCTACTCTCTGCTGGTTTGAGGTGGGCTTACTGACCACGCTGGGCACTTGAAGCCCATCTAGAGCCCTAAATTAGAATGAGAGGCCGGGAAAGCTTGTTGCAGCCCAATTAAAGGATAGCCGGAGAGGATAGGCTTTACCTTTGCTGATCCTGTTGATTGTCTCCCCTGCGGATTAAAGACAAACCTTCCTTAACAAGCGCATTGAGTAGCTTGGGTTTCCAAAACTCTCCAGGACCAGTAATTAATCCAACTGGTAATGAGAGCACAGTGCTGAATTCTGGAAAGGAATCATTTAACTCTTTCTATACTGGACAGCTCATTTACCCTTATTAATATCCCTTTATTAGCACTAGTTATTTGGGACAGTATGAAAATAGTCTGGTGGAAAATTGCTTCTTTCAGTGAAGTCACATTATCTTTGCACTTAAAAGCAAAGATTGTCCTTCATCTCTAAACTGTGCAGTCTTGAAAAGTTAACTTTTGTAGTAGAAAGTGCTTTTTGCCTCTTGTTTGATGTAGGGGCAAATTTTGTACAGTTGATAGTTAGTACTTTAAAAAGCTAAGATCTGACTCTGAATTAGAACTTGTTAATTTCACTCTGGGCCCATTTTTTTAACTTAATGAGGTTTTTGCCTGTGGAAGTAACCTTTCCTTTGTGCTGCTTCCGTCTCTCCTGCCTCTCATATTAGCCTCTACTGTCTTCTTCCTGGGGCTTTGAAACATTTCCCATCCAGAAATTCTAGCACATAAAGCATCTTTTAAAAACTTTCATTTTTTGTTAATTTAGAGATATTTGGCCTTCTTATTTCATTATCTCCTCACTCTGCTGGGCGTGGATATAAAGAACTCTCCTTTTGGAGACTGGTAATGGGATTAAAAGAAAGAGGAAGACTTATAAAAGTCTCTGGTATGAGTTTATTTTGTTTATGCATCTGAGAAAGCTATTATTTCTTTATATGAAGAAATATAAATATTGTGTGTGAGGACTAAGCCTTTTCCTTCTCTATATAACTGAGGCTAGAAAAAGACACTCCCAGGAAGCCAGGATAAAGGGAAGAATGACTTTGAGATGCACTTTCTTAAAATAACTGAAGAAGTGACCTCATGAGCCAGCTGATAGCCTGGGTTTGCAAATGGATACATTTCTATTAGCCTGCTGCTTGATGCCACAGAGCCAAATATATAACGGAGTATATAATACCCTATCCTGCAGGCAGGAGACTGTCTGGGAGATGGGGGGTACTTAGAAGGAGGTGAAATGGCAGGCTTGGGGCAAGAATTAACGATGTAAGTACAGTCAGCAAGAACTATCTTTATTAGGTAAACATTACTGATTTGGTTTCATGCTTCCCTGTTATGTACTAATTTCTGTCATCTTCTAGTAAAATAGTATTTAAATGAGAACACTTGATATTTAAATAGGCTCTTTAATACAAGTTTTGCTGTACTCATTATCTCATTAATACTTAAGTATTCCCATTTCTATTTTTTTTCTTTCTCTATTTTACGGCTACAAGCCCGTGTCCTTGCGTGTGACTCATGCTAAAATTGTCCTCTCCTTTTGGTCTTAAGAGGCACTATGAGTGTGTTCTTAGATGAAGGATGCTGCTTATCTCTGGTATACTGTAGACCACCAGGTTCAAAGGAAAGCAGTAGGTCTGAGGAGGAAGATTATAACTTGGTAAACTGCTTCTCTTGCCAAAAATCATTGTCGGCAATTGAGAATATTCACAAAGTAGGCTCCCCTTCTCCCCCAGTATACACACACAGCGTGGTTACCATGCCAGGCGATAAAGAAAGGTAGTTGTTTCTGTGGTTTAACATCTGTCTGGTCTGGATTTGATTTGTAAAATAAATTTGAATGAAATTCATTAAGATCAACACATGCTTCATTACGTATATCTATATGTCAGACTCATAGACATTAGACTATCTTACTAGAAACTTTTTAGAAGAGTTTTAGGGTTATTTTCCCTTTTTATTAAGTAAAGCCCATTTATTTTCATATATTTTGTGACCAATCATGTTACCAAACTCTCGTTGTTTATAGTAGTTTTTTCATTTTATTCTCTGGGGATTTCCAGATACACAGTCATACCATTTACAAATAGTGGTGATTTTATCTGTTCGTCACCTCTTATTTCTCTCATCTAATTGTTCTGATTACTACCTCCAGAACAACATGTTGAAGACATGTTGACCTTGACACCATAAATGCATGGGCGTTCTAGAAGGGAAATAAGCTATAGCATCAATAGTACCTTAGGGGGCAGAAATCAAACATGGGGGCAGATATTCTTGATCTTATAGGAGCAAGTGTATGAAATACAGCTTAAGATGTACTTTACCAACATATGTATAATTCTCCATCACCCATGGAGCTAAAGTGACCTGTGAGAAACAGACGGTTCTCACAGTCACATTTTGGGGCTCTCCATAACCCTCCAGGAAGGCTCTCTTTTATAATCTTAGAATTTGTTGAGAGGCACAAACACATCCCAGACGTCTTTCATAACTGCTGATGACCACACTCTTGTTTTCCAGGCCCAGCTTCGGGCGTTTATTCCAGAGATGCTGAAGTACTCCACAGGTCGGGGAAAACCAGGCTGGGGTAAAGAAAGCTGCAAGCCCATCTGGTGGCCTGAAGATATCCCATGGGCAAACGTTCGGAGCGATGTCCGCACAGAAGAGCAAAAGCAGAGGGTGAGGGTTCCTCTGGCCTGAGTTTCCTATTGCTTTTCCATTCTGAATCAACCACCTCATTTTTATTATTCTACTTCTTATGCTATAAAGTCTAAAAACATTTGTGTAATAGTCAAACCTATCCCCCAAAAGAGGTTTGATATTCTCTGATTTATAGCCTTTCCCATCACTCCATCACTGTAAAGACTTGGGATGGCTCTGTGAATTTACACTTCTCTCTACATAGTTGCTTTTTGGAGCAGTTTTAATTTTATAAGGTGCTTGGAAAAACTAACGAAACTTGAAGTAAAAGGTATTAATCACTTTGAAGACTTGAAATGTCCTTATTTCTGATTAGCAAGCATCACTGTTGAAAATATAAATATAGAGAGATGTGAAGTTAGTGAAGTCTGCTGATAATGAAACTTATTTTAAAAAAGAAGAAAGACTAAACCAGGTGTCCTCCCTTACTTGTTCTGCATATTCATTTTTTTCAGTTAGCTTTAAAAATCTACTGAGGATCTCAAATAAAGCGACTTCCCTGGTGGTCCAGTGGTTAAGACTCCACACTCCCAATGCAGGGGGCCCGGGTTCGATCCCTGGTCAGGGAACTAGGTCCCTTATGCTGCAACTAAGAGCCCACATGCCACAACTGAAGATCCCACATGCTGCAGCGAAGATCCCGCGTGCCGCAACAGCAGACCCGGCACAACCAAATAAATAAATAAATAAATATTTTTTAAAATCTTAAATAAAATTCTTGACGAAAGAGTAACCTTCTTCTGTGAGAAGTTTAACAGTTGGCCTCAGGAAAACCCAAAAGTTAAACCCGACTTTGATCAGGAAGGAAACCAGTGTGAAATTGTTGGTACTTGGTGCTGAATTTCTTTATGTCCAAATCGATCTGTGGGAAATAATCCTGAGAGAGTTACTCCATGCAAGTTTGGTTTGGTTTGGTTTGATAAATAAGCAGCTGCTTATTCCACAGTAGAACTGAATAACCAACATTCTTTGTGACTTAATGTGCTTTTCTGGTCTTTTGATGACAGGTTTCATGGACCCAGGCACTACGGACCATAGTTAAAAACTGTTATAAACAGCATGGGCGGGAGGACCTTTTGTATGCTTTTGAAGATCAGCAAACACAAACACAGGCCACAACCACACACAGTATAGCCCATCTTGTACCATCACAGACTGTAGTCCAGACCTTTAGTAACCCTGATGGCACTGTCTCGCTTATCCAGGTGAGTAAACCTTCTGGTTACCAGATTGTGATTTCTGAGGCAGATCAGTGGGCACCTCACCTCAGACTGGAGAAAGTTGTCTTTTTTTTTTTTTTTTAATTTATTTAATTTATTTAATTTATTTATTTTTGGCTGCGTTGGGTCTTCATTGCTGTGTGCTGGCTTTCTGTAGTTGCAGCGAGTGGGGGCTACTCTTTGTTGTGGTGCGTGGGCTTCTCATTGTGGTGGCTTCTCTTGTTGCGGAGCATGGGCTCTAGGCGCACGGGCTTCAGTAGTTGTGGCATGTGGGCTCAGTAGTTGTGGCTCGCATGCTCTAGAGCACAGGCTCAGTGGTTGTGGCATGTGGGCTCAGTAGTTGTGGCTCGCATGCTCTAGAGCTCAGGCTCAGTAGTTGTGGCACATGGACTTAGTTGCTCTGCGGCATATGGGATCTTCCCAGACCAGGTCTCAAACCCGTGTCCCCTGCATTGGCAGGCGGATTCTTAACCACTGCGCCACCAGGGAAGTCCAAGAAAGTTATTTTTATATAAATTCTTGTATTAACTTTATACAGCTCCCCAAGATCTTCCTACCTGAACTCTATTTTTTGAATAATATTTTAAATTGTTTGCATTTTGCTAAATACAAAGCTATAGATAGCATTTCTAGACATTTCCAAATCAAAGCACTGTAAAAATGGCTTCCTTTTTTTTTTTACCATTTCACTCTCTCAGTGGCCAGGAAATATTCCTTCTGAATTACCACTTCTGAGGTGAAACGCAATTTGTTGGTAGATAGAGGGAGCGTCTAAAATTCAGATTGGGGAGAGAGTAGAAAGTTGGTTGACTGACACTGGGCACCAATGATGAAACATGATGGCTTCTCATAGTGACTTATATGGTTGAAGTAAAACTCTGAAACTCATGTTAGTGTCTGAGATGTGATTTTAGTAATTCATTTCATATTACAAGGCATATTAATCATTACCTCTGCTGAATTTGGGATTATCTGAATCTTAACTTCTGAGTAAAGGAGAGGTTGAAGGATCCATCCACTGACACATCACTTTCCATGTTTTTTCTTTAGGTTGGTACAGGGGCAACAGTAGCCACATTGGCTGATGCTTCAGAATTGCCAACCACAGTCACTGTTGCCCAAGTGAATTATTCTGCTGTGGCTGATGGAGAGGTAAGAAAGGATTCCATCTGTTTCCACTTAAATACTCAAATGTATAGGTGAGGGATAGGGAGGGTCCAGAAGACGAAGAGACTGTAAGTAGCCTACACGTCTGTAGCATTGTTTTATTTAAACCGTTTAAGACATCACACCATGTCAGTTTTGTGAAGTAGCTTACTCTGTGTATGTTAATTATAACAGTCGAAAGTTATGGATCCTGATGATTCAGGCATAACTGTCAGGAACTTACAATTGTATATTTGTAACATAGGATTTAGTACTTTTATGCTGTGAATCCCAAAGAATTTAATCTTTGGACTTTATGAAAAAAATTAGATCATTAAATCTAAAGCTGACTAAAACATTCTTTGAAGGGATATATATATATTTGTAAATCAGTAGACATGATTTATTGCATTTTAAATGAGCCTTTGAAAAGACTTCACAAGAAAATCCTTTCCTGGGAATTCCCTGGAGGCCCAGTGGTTAGGACTCAGTCATAGCGCTTTCACTGCTGTGGCCTGAGTTCAATCCCTGGTCAGGGAACTAAGATCCCACAAAGCTGTGTGGCACGGCCAGAAGGAAAAAAAAAAAAGGGACAGGAAAATCCTTCCCTATCAAAACTGAGATAATTATGGGATGTTAACTTAAAGGAAGGTAACTAACCTTTATTGACACTCGCTAAACTAAGCACTCCTCAACCCTAGGAAGTGTAGGTTCTGTTATCATCTTTGCTTTATACATGATGAAACTGAAAGGTTAGGTGACTTGCCCAAAGGCACAATGTAAGTGTTGAAGCTGGGTAACACAATTAGAAAAATGTTGTCTAAGCTCTGAGCCATTAGTGAAGTTCAGGAAAGGGTTTGTTAAGTCACTGTGGACTTTTCACCTAAAGGTTATACTTCTGAAATTTGAAAAATAGTCAACAAATGTCAAAGAGCAATATCAGAAATAAAGCTAAAAATATTATCTCACCCTTGTTCAAAACCATGGAATATTTCCACTCAGAACACCACAAAATCACTATCATTTGTGCATCTCAGGAAAGGGAGAGAACTGATACAGGTCATGGCTAGCAAGGTGAAGAGAAATACAGCAGGCTCCTGTCAGCCAGCATGTGTTGAGACCCCGCTGTGCTGCAGTTGAGGTGTTAGATATGTAGCGTTGATTTACACAGGAACCCAGCTCTCAGGGAGAGAGAAGCATCTGCATAAATGAACTGTGGTTCCTGCTGTCAGAGAGGCTGCAAAGTGGTCTGTAGCTTCAAGAGAGTGTTTCCAGTGAGGGAGCCTGTGAAGGTTTGGGGCAGGAGCTACCCTTTGCTGTTCCAGTATAGAAAGGTAGAAGTCAACAGATTTACTTTTAAAGGTATATAAACATCATGAAAGAGAATGGATTAGCTGAGGGGAAAATTCGTCAGTCCCCAAACACTAAAACTAGAGGACAGACACTCCTTGAAGTGTGAAAGAGGTAGCAAAGACAGTGGTGGGTACATTTATGGGATTTGTTACTTTTTACTTTTTGACTCAGTCAAAGTTATTTAGGCATCTCCCTACTGAATGTTTCCTGGGTACTCTTTTTTTTTTTTGGGTACTCTTTTAAAGAAAGTAACTTTGAGTTGCTTAAACACTTCTCTAGAGACTAATTCTTTGAAACCCATTTTACAGAATAACTTCACACAACCAATGTATCCAAAAGTTCATGGAAAATGTGAAGGATACAAAAATCTTAGTCACATATCTATGGCTTTTCCAGCACACTGATGTCGTTTTAAAGTCGTCGTGTGGAAGTGTGTGAATGATATATACAAATAACCTGTTGGTTAATACCCAGATTCAGTCAGATTAAAAAAATTCTAACCCCACACTTACAATGAAACAAAAATATGAAGAAAAGAAGCATAGGTTATCTCAGAAAGTGGCAAAATGTTTTAGAGTCTATAGTTTGCTTCTATGTGCCTTCTGATTAGATGTTGACATGGTTGTCAGCATCTTAGTTTTGAGCCATGAGGACTGTAATTAGAATATCTCACTGACTTGGGACAGATAAGACCATATCAAGCCAACAAAGCATTGCATCAGGTGCCTCAGTAGAAACATCCTACTGCCTGTATGTAGCATTGTTTCTCCAAGGAACAGAAAGTTATTTACAAAAATAAACAAAACCTATACTTCTGGAAGTTTTAAGGTTATTTTGTTATCCTAGCCTTGCCAGTGAGAGCTCTTACATTAGATCATACTGCATTTAACATCCAGTTAGTTGCAATTGGTTACATTTATAAGAAGGACCTTCTGTGGGCCTGTCTCTTCTGGTAGTAAAATGGTCTCCCAACTCTGAGTACTCTGTGTGCTGAGAATATCGAATAATCTAAGTAGTTATAAAGAAACCAAAAGAATCTCTAACCTAATGCAACTTAAAACTAATTAGGGACACAGAACAAATTACATAAACATTTAGAAATGAATAAGAAAAGAATTTCAAAATAATATGAAATAAACTATATATATTGATTTCAAAATACACAATTTCCATTTTGATGGCATATTTACAGTACAAATGGATTTGAGAATTTATTCTGTGGTAAGACCACCAATTGGTATGGGTGATATTAATTGCATTATGTGTCAGAAAAATTGAAATTTGAAAGAGAAATGATATCTGATAATAGTAGGCATGTGCTTCTGTTAGAAGAAACCAAAGTGCAGAGACATTAGAGACATGAATTTTAAACTGAACCATCAACACATGTAACAGTTTTGAAGTAGCACAGCTTATTTTAGGTGGGGTTTTTTTGAATATCAATTTATGAATATCGATTGAATATCAGTTTATTTGAAATATAGGTATGCTGAAGAGCAAGTAGGGAGAGCTGAATAAAGGAACATGTTCTTCATCTATCCATTAAGTACATGCTTTCTGAGCCCTGTGCCAGACACTATGTATACTATAGGTGGAGGGGAGTAAAGACCATTCTTGGGCTTCCCTGGTGGCGCAGTGGTTGAGAGTCCGCCTGCCGATGCAGGGGACATAGATTCGTGCCCTGGTCTGGGAAGATCCCATATGCCGCGGAGCGGCTGGGCCCGTGAGCCATGGCCGCTGAGCCTGTGTGTCCGGAGCCTGTGCTCCGCAACGGGAGAGGCCACAACAGTGAGAGGCCCGCGAACTGAAAAAAAAAAAAAAAAAAAAGACCATTCTTGCTCTTAAGGAGCACACAGGTAGGTGGTAGAGAAGAACACATCAGAGAAAATGGCAATCAGATAAGGATCTAGTAGAAGCAAGCCCAGGGTACTCTGGAACCCAGAGGAGAGGTCCTGAGCCTTGGACTATAGGGAGTTGTCTTTAAGTGGAGTTGTCTTGGCTCTAATCTCACCTGAGCTCAGACTAGAGGGGTGAACAGGAAGCAAAGGATGGGAGTTGTGTTCCTCTCAAAGGGAGCATCACATGCAGTGCATCACAGTGTGAAAGTGTGGAAAAGCCGAGGTGGTTCACGGTAGCAAGAGAGACAAGGATAGCCACAGTTTGAAGGGCCTCACTGTAGTGGGTCTCTCTCAGAAAAGCACAGAAGCTAACTGTACATCTTCTGAATATCTTTCCCTTCTAGAGTTTGTGGCCTTTCTCTGGGACATGGTGACATCCAGGCATAGATAACCACACAGTGGCTCCCAAAAGATGGAAAGGGAGCACAGCAAGAGCTCAAGCAAACACAACTCTAAAGCACTGAGACTCAAGAATAGGAAATTCCAAAGAAGCATTAACACTTAAGCTGATTTATTTATTACCTGTCATTACTCTGAATAGAAATCTCTTCATCTGCTTCTTCCCACTTCTCCACCCTTTACCACCATCCATTAATCTTTTGTGCCACAAATTTAACTTCCTTAAAGTATACTGTGTATGGCAACATTCTAATACCATTTTCACTACAAATATAGCTGTAACCGAATGTGTATGTATTAAGTTGCTGCCGTAGAGTATGAGTACTTGAGAGAGCTGCACTAGGCCATACTCAGCAATGGGATGGGCAGAAATATAGAGGGGCAGATCTGGAAAGAGGAAAATGCTACAGGGCTGGCCAGCTTCAGCTGGTGTTCTGAGTGGAATCATCAACCATCAATGGATTGGCAGTGTAACTTGCCATCTAAAGTGGCGTTGTTTGCAGTGATGCTCATTGGAATAATGAGATCAAAGAGGTAATACCTTAAGAAGCAAGAGTTTCGTGAATTCCTGAGTGGGCAACTTTGCAGCTCTACAGGAAGGAAGTAGGGTATCTCTGGCTCTTAATGTTGGGCCCTGGAGGCTTGCTGGCACAGCCCACTGTCTATAAGAACTCAGGGCAAATACTAATGTAGCTCAAAGGAATGTCTCATTCTCTGGGGAGCTTTTGACAAACATTTGGAGGAGCACTGTGACAATCCAAGTATAGCAATAGAGCCAAAGCGGGAGGCATTTTATTTTATTTTATTTTAAATTTTGTTTATTTTATTTTTGGCTGTGTTGTGTCTTCGTTGCTGTGCATGGGCTTTCTCTAGTTGCGGTGGGCGGAGCCATTCTTCGTTGTGTTACGCGGGCTTCTCATTGCGGTGGCTTCTCTTGCTGTGGAGCACGGGCTCTAGGCGCGTGGGCTTCAGTAGTTGTGACACGTGGGCTCAGTATTGTGGCTCACGGGCTCAAGAGCGCAGGCTCAGTAGTTGTGGGGCTTGGGCTTAGTTGCTCCGCGGCATGTGGGATCTTCCTGGACCAGGGCTCGAACCTGTGTCCCCTGCATTGGCAGGCGGATTCTTAACCATTGCGCCACCAGGGAAGTCCCGCGGGAGGCATTTTAAGTATCTGTGTCTCCTAGAGCTTGTGACACTTTCTTTGGGACACAGTAACATGAAGGCACAAGTTGACCACTCACTGGGCCCCAGAAAGAGCTCCAGTAAACACAGCTAACATCCTGAGACCTGAGTCTGTAGAAATAGTATACATGAGCTGCTTGATTTATCACCTACCATATTTTAGAATAAAAACTGCTTTCACTACCCCTGTTGCTTTTTGGTTTTGGGTGGAGGGGTGGGGGCGGGGGGCGAGGGGATACTTAACCAGTATTTATTGAGCAAAATGGACTGAAGTAGCTAGATTCAGGTATCCAGGACTGAAAAAAAATCTCTAAACGGCAAAGCATTGTACTAAAGTCAGTGGTTCTCAACCCGGGGCAACCCCTATACCCCTCAGAGAGGACATTTGGCAAAATGTCTGGAGATACTTTTGATTATCATGACTGCGGAGGATGTATTAGCATCTACCGGGTAGAAACCAAGGATGCTGCTAAACATCCCACAATCCACAGGACAGACCTCACAACAAAGAATTATTTAACCCAAAATGTTAATAGTGCTGTTGTTGAGAAACCCTGTTCTAGATCTAGAAAAGCTGAATTCTAATCTACTCTATATAACCAGATAGTATGTTTTTGTTTGTTTGTTTTGTTGCTTGTTTCGTTTCTTCATAATTCCTCCCCAGTAAAAGAAAAGCAGGTTTTGCTACATTAAAAAAATTGTTTACTGAATTTGGCAGTTTCCATCAAAAATAAAAATACAAAATAATTTTGATGTATAATTCCACTTCTAGGAATTTACTCAGTAAGTAGACTCACATAAACTATACAAAGTTAGTGTATAAGGATATTCATCACAGTACTGTTTGTAATAGCAAAACGCTGGAAACTACCTAAATGCCCATTAAAAGATGTCTGGTTAAGTAAATCATGGTGTATCCATATAATATAATGCTATGCAGCCATTATTATGAATCATGAATGAGTGAAGCAGTTTGATACATTCCAAAGTAAAATCATTTCAGAGCTGTATTGTTTATGAAAAAAAGCAAGGTACAAAAAGCATCTAGCAAGTACTGCCATTTTTCTTGAGTGTGTGTATGTGTATGTGTAAATATGCTCACATATCAAGAGAATATCCCTGCAAAGATGCATGAGAAATAGAGAAATAGGTAACAACAGTGGCCTTTGGGTGAAGGGTCTGGAGTACTGGCATTATATTCCCTTTGGTACAGTTTGAATTTTTTTAGAATTATACTTATGATTTATTCAGAAACTTTAATTTTAGAATAGGTACTATATTGATATGACTCAGATATTTCAAAATTTATGTAAAAGGTTGCAATGGAAAATCTTCTTTCTGCCTTCTATCCAACCTATTCCCACAACAACTCCCTCTGCACACACTGAGGAAAATATTTTCAATGGTTTCTTTTGTGTGAAACTCCTTCCAGAGTTTCTTTACGCAAATATAAGCAAATTCAAATATATATTCTAATACCCCCCTTTTTAACACCAAAGATATGCTAAAAACCCTGTTCTATACGTTGTAATTCATGTTAATTTAAAAGTATGTATGTATTTGGCTGAGCACATAGCAGTTTTTTAGAAAAATGACTTTTAAAAATCATAATCCTTTTGTGAGTTTGATTTTTTAACTATCATGTCCTTTTCTGCCTCAGGTGGAACAAAATTGGGCCACGTTACAAGGAGGTGAGATGACCATCCAGACGACACAAGCATCAGAGGCTACCCAGGCAGTGGCATCATTGGCAGAGGCTGCAGTGGCAGCTTCTCAGGAGATGCAGCAGGGAGCCACAGTCACCATGGCACTCAACAGGTGGAGGCAGGGGTGGGCGATAAAAGAGGAGGTCGAATCTGTCCCTGTATACAGATGTAAAGAGAAATGTTGTACCTCAGTTTGTCACAATTGGCATTTGGAACTTAATACCCTTAACCCATAGGATACTGTAAGTTGTTTTATAATCAGCCCTCACCTACTGCATTCCCATCCTATCCCATCCCCAGCAACCAGTCCAGCCTGACTTCCAGCTCAAGCCTTCTGGTCAAGGGACATGGGTCCCTTTTGCTTTATCCTATTCTGTGCTCCTTAACAGACCAAAAGCAGCAAGATGTAAGTACTTTGTGTTTTTAAAGGGGCCAAAGGATGTAATAAAAAATCAAGAAGCTTCAGGATTGATTTTCCTTTTATCCTACTAAGAAACTGCTTTTTGTTATGGCTATTAATCCATGTTTTAGCTGGTCAGGAGCTGACTTTACTGACTTTCAGGAGGTTTGTTTCCCTTGCTTATCAGTGACTTCGAAATAAAATAAGTTTTGGATTATTGGGAGAAACTGAATTTTTTTTCTTCAGATATGTTTAGGAAGGATACTGCAGAATGGAATACTCTAGTAAGAGGTAATTTCCAAAACTAAATTGTTTTGTTCCGTGCTTGGTTCCTTCTATTCGTTGTTGACAGAAAAAAATCATCCCCATATTATTATTCTTGTTGTTCATTGCTTACACAATTTTATTTTCAATGGACCCAGACCTTTTAACTAATGGTTAAGAGTGTGTGCTTTGAAGCCAGGCTACTTGGGTTTGAATCCCAGCTCTGTCACTTACTAGCTGTTTGACCTTGGGTGATTTACTTGAGCTCAATGCCAAGGCTTTCCTCTATGTAAAAGGTGGGGGGGGGTAAAAACAGTGCCTACTTTGTAGGGGTGCTGTGAGAATGGGAAAAGTCAATGCATGTGAAATCCTTAGTTCAGTGCCCAGCATATGGTAAGGTTGCTGTTAACATTATGTGCAGCAGCTGTTAGCCTCAAATAGTCTTTGAACTCTTGCGACATGCCAGCACTCTACTGGGTAAGGCTGTAAATAAAGAATGCTCTAAGATATAATGTCTGCCTTAAAAGAAATCATACTGTGAATGGGGAGATTGATTTAAGTAAAACACTTAGCAAACATATTACTCAGAGTGTAATTTACTGTCCAAATGTATGGTGTAGACTATGAACATAGTAGGAATTCAGAGTAAGGGGATCACTTCCTCCAAAATATGAAAATCAGCTGAAGTTTAGGTTGGCTGTGGTAGACACTAGAAAGCCTTGATAGGCTTATGTACAGAAGATTTCCATCAAGCTGTATAGTATAGTGGCTGGGAAGAGGGTTCTGAGGTCGTATAGATTCAGGTTTGAATCCTTCCTCTGCCATTTAGTTGCCATTTGATCTGGAGATATTTAACCCCTGAGCATTAGTCTCATCATCATTATAATAAGGATAATTTTCATCATGTAGAATCATAAAGACTCAATGAAATGATGTATATAAAACTCTTGTCAAAGTGTCTGGCCTGTAATTAGCATTTCAAGAATTATACTTATTATCATTTAACTTATATTTTAAAATTTGTCTACTTAGAATTGTTTACAGCAAGAAGAGATTAAAAGTAGAAGGCCAGTTAAGAAGAGGCAGTCCAGGTATGACTTGTCAAAGGCGTGGAAACTAGTAGTAAGAGTGGAGATAAAGTGACTGATTTTGAAGGAAGTATGGTAAGGACTTGGTTGGTCAGGTATAAAAAACTGAAACATACACAGACGCTTCTCCTTCCAGAGTTACCAGTGAGTCCCTGAGTGACCTGGGATAGAAACTTTTTTCTTAGCCCATTGAACCATATCACTTTTCAGTAACATGAAAGTCTTATTTGATTCCTTACACTTTGACTCAATCCTACTTGTACCTTTGAGAGAGGACACACAGATAAACTTCCTGAAAGCTATGGCCAGAGTGAAACCCTCCTTCCTTTTGGTCCGGTAACCCCTCACTGTAGCATGGGGTCTAAAAGGCCACCATCAAAGACCAGAAAAACTTCATTTCATCGAGCCAGCACCTTTGCTATTCCAGTGAAGTGGGAGTGTCCTGGGAACCCTGTACATAGTGGAAAACATGAAGCACATTCTGGCTCCCTTTAGTGTAAGGACCAGGGCTTATTTCTAAAGGCAAGGAGGGTAATGGTTTCCCCTGAGGGCTTGTTAACACACTCAGATGCAGCTGAGGTGGCTATAGTGTTTACTCCAAAGGAAGGAGAATATGGTTCACTGTGGCATGTAGGAGTAAAGAGATGTTGAAATCTGTTTGCAATCAGATAGTTCAACACCCCATGAGTGTTGGGGGATGGTGTTTTGCAGCCTCTGCTGAGGGTGAAGAAACCAAGCCTGGCAGTGAAGACTAGACTATAGCAGGCTACTAGGGGAACATCATGGGCTTCTAATTCCAGGAGCGGTAACCCACTGTCTAACGTCAGGAGGATTGGACTTAAGACACGAGCCCTTTGTGTTTGCTTCTCTATGGGATGAGACCCATTCCCAGCCTCTCCAAAGAATTCGTTGCTGGAAGTCGTCTTAGTGAAAAGTACACTGCGTGGTACTTTGTTCCTGTGGTAACAAAACGATTTCCTAGAGCTGCTCCCTTCCAGCCTCTCTTTTTCAGGTGCAGATGGAACAAGCATGGTTCTCTAACAATCACCTGCACCTCTGCTGCACTGTAAACAGCAGATGTGGGTGCAGAGCAAAGAGAGAGAGGCAGGCTACATGGAATGGCAGCTGGAGAACAAGAAGGCAGAGGGCTTCTCTCAACTGTTGAGGGGAAAGGGGATCAGGACAGGTGCAAGACAGACCTTTTTTTCAACCATGCTGTTAAAAGAATTTTGTATAGCAAGTTAGAATGAGGGCCCCGGGCTCAGACAACCTGTAGCCCACCCTCCATACCCAAAAGGGGTATGGAGAAATTGTCATTTAAAAATCTAGAAGCTAGTTAATTTTAATTATTTTCAAAATACAGAATAAATTAACACTTTTAGGAAGGAGGTGGAGAGAGAATCAAAGTGAACAAATGAAAAGCAGAGCGTCACACCTCAGACCTGTTCACCCTGAACAACCAGACAGGAAATGAAATCATCATTTGCTTGTTGCAATACAGTGATTAATTGGAAGTTTCAGGTCGTTGGTTAAGTTGTCCTAGACTTACATTCCCTCTTACACAAGTCCTGCAAAGCCAGTACAGTCCTTGCACATAGAGACAGATACATGATAAATACTGGTAGACTGAATCTACATTTGCTCTGGTAGAAATTTATGTGATGTTGTTGACAGGAAGACAGTTTTTACTGAGTGTCTACTGTGTGTAGTGCTGTGACTCAGTGCTATGGGGAAACAAATGCTCAAGAAAGTTAGAGTTGCTGTTCTTTTGCTGTGAAGAGACTTTGCTTAAAGAAAAGAAGTGAATCATATTTTTAAAGAAAAACTTACTCTTACCTTTTTTTTTTTTTTTTTTTTTTGCGGTACGCGGGCCTCTCACTGTTGTGGCCTCTCCCGTTGCGGAGCACAGGCTCCAGACGCGCAGGCTCAGCGGCCATGGCTCACAGGCCCAGACGCTCCGCTGCATGTGGGATCCTCCCAGACCGGGGCACGAACCCGTGTCCCCTGCATCGGCAGGCGGACTCTTAACCACTGCGCCACCAGGGAAGCCCAACTCTTACCATTTTTTAAAATGAAAATATTGACTTAAAATTAGAGATCTTACTAAAATAAAACATGGCTTTAATATATGAACTTGTATTTATTTGTCCAGTAACATGGGATGGACAACCTAGATCAGAAATCCTCTCTGGAAATAGAGGACAGGGACTATGCAACTGCCTCTTTTTCCTATAGGTGAAGGTGGGACACTTGCAGATAAAACGTTGACAGAAAAAAAGGTGGGGGGGGGCTTGTTAGAAACTTCTCATTTGTAACTGGTTTGGAAATGACTTTTGTTGAAAAATTGCTAAGTGGTAGCTTAGAGACATTTTGATCCCTACTCACCTTTTAAGTGAAGGTAACCTTTTTCTCGCAATACAGTTTGATCACTTTCCATGAAGTCTAATGGTTAGAATAGACTTGGGAGTGATAGTCTGCTGACCACAGGCATCACCATTGTCTTTTGCACCATGTAAAAGATCCATCCGTTGCTGCTTTGCCCCGGCCCCTGACCAGGGCACGCAGTAACTAACCTCACCGACCTGTGGACCTGTCATCCCTGTCGGACCCCTCATCCCTGGCATCCCAGATTGCTTTAGTTGTTGCTGCTTCACAGCTTTTCTTCCAGCATAACATATTTTAGAAAGGCACTAAAGAAAAATGACTTCAAATATTTAGAGCTTCAGACATTATAAAATGGGTATGACTGGATACAGGGACTCTTCCGGGTCAGGGCTTGGGTGGCTGCTCTCCCCCTCATAGCCTGTGAAATTTCACCCTGCAAGCATGTGTCCAAGAGTGGCAGGACGTCACCTTTGATGGTCATAGAAATAAGATTATTGTAGATTGTGATAAAAACAGTGGGGAAATGAGCAGTTGCTGAGGTAACCTGTAAACACAGCTCCTATTTCCATATAAACAGTTCTCATATACCAGCTTTCTTTTTCAAAATACCACACAGCTGAAGCATTTTCCAAAGAATATCCTTTTTGGCTTTCCATGAAGTCTCAGGTCAGAGTGTTAAATATTTCTATCGTTAATCCGTGATAGCTGAACGCTGCAGAATTGGCTGGTAATATTATTTGACACAAGTTTCTCAGAAAAATATTAAAAGTTAAGGGTCTAGGCACTAAATAATCATTCATTTTACTATCTCAAATAATTATAAAGCATCCTAAAATTAAAATCTACCTTGTAAAAGGTAAAGAATAGCCTTAGTAGTAATTCCAGATCCAGGGTCCACTTTGGCTCTGAATTCATGTTACAGATACTATGGAATGACTGGCTGTGGGTATCACATCGGAAGTACGTTTTAGCACAGAGATTGATCTTAGCTTTTAAAGGGGCTGTGTGGAAACTCTATGATTCTGTTCAGCTTTTTGCTCAACCTCAATTCCGTCCCCAAATTTTTTATAAAGGAAGTAAATAAATTTGAAATATGTAATCATGATCTTGAACTAAGTTAAAGGAAGCCTGGAAATTAAAAGTTACCACAGCTGAACAACTAGAAAAGGGGGTGGGGGGAATCAGCAGTTTTACATTTAACTTATTATTTTGAATAAATGTCAAAGAATATTTATATGGGGAAATGCCAAGTTAGGTAAGAAAAGCAGGCTATAAAACTGTGTGTACAGTATGATCCTGATTATCTGTTTAAAGTTGTGTTTAAGATTAGAAGGAGGGGGCTTCCCTGGTGGCGCAGTGGTTGAGAGTCCACCTGGCGAGGCAGGGGACACGGGTTCGTGCCCCGGTCCGGGTAGATCCCACATGCCGCGGAGCGGCTGGGCCTGTGAGCCATGGCCGCTGGGCCTGCGTGTCCAGGGCCTGTGCTCTGCAACGGGAGAGGCCACAACAGTGAGAGGCCTGTATACCGCAAAAAAAAAAAAAAGAAGGAAAATAGCTCTTATCTCTGCATGATATTTAAAAATTTTCTTTTATACTTAATGAATTTTTACAAGTTTCTACATGCATTTTATTATCAGAGAAAAATAACTTTTTAAACACACACATAACAATTTAAAAAGCAAGGCAAGTTAGCAAGAAGGGGAGAATTCTCTATTTAATGAGACTTTTCTGTCCATTGGACTTCTTAAACTGCTTCCTAACATCCTTATAGTGACCAAGAAGTCTTCCCCAGAAGAATGATTATGTCAGTTGCTTTACTTGTTTGCCGACTCTCTTAGATGAAAGTGACGCTGTTAAGTTTGGTACACATTGCTTTGCCCACAGTCGTGACACGTTTGCCCTAAACGGTCCATAGCTGCCCCCCGCCCCATCCTCCCCTACAGCTTGTTTTTGCGAGATGACTGCCATAGTTGTGGCAAAGTCTGCAGCTTCAGAACAAAGCTGAATCAACTGGCTTATTCGATGTCAAACCCAGGACTTTGTCCACCTCTGATAAACTAAATGACGCCACCTCCTTTTCTCCATGCCCACTTTTGATATTCCCTCAGTAACTGTGCAGAGTGGTACCTGGTACTTTCCCAGGAGAGGTGATGAATTTATCTGGTGGGTTCTTTTTTTCTTTTCTTCCACATTTTAACATCTCTGAAGTTTGGATGGTAAACTATAATCTTACGATTACAATTGTCAGGAACTTTTTTTTTGTCTCTGCTGTGGGACTTGGGGATCTTAGTTCCCTGACCAGTGATCGAACCCAGGCCCTGGCAGTGAAAATATGGAGTCCTAACCACTGGACCACCAGGGAATGCCCAGGAACTTTTCGTTTTTTGCTGGCACATGAAACAGTAATACATTTTATAGTTTGTATCATCATCGAATCAATAAAAGTGGGTATTTATGCATATAGTAAAAGCAGACAATAAGGAAAAGAAAAATGGGATACAAACTGCTAGAATAGTGTTTACTATAAATAGATGGCTAATATCTTTCTGTTCTGCAGAGTGTTTGGTTTGCAGTGAAGGGAGGTTTATTATTTCATTATGTTTGTAGAGTCAAGGATTTTGGGCTTATAGTGATAATTTAAACTTGTAAGTGTTAATTTAGTTCTGCCTACGTGTACATGAAGCAAAAGGAAGGGCTGAACTTTGCAAGATATTAGTCAGCCATTACTTTGTATTTGGAATCATGGATGTAAACCAAATTGCTATTATTTGATATATTTTTATGTATCTTTTAAAAATTTTTTATTTTATATTGGAGTATAGTTGATTTACAATGTTGTGTTAGTTTCAGGTATACAGCAAAGTGATTAATACATATACACATACCTATTCTTTTTCAGATTCTTTTCCCATATAGGTTATTGCAGAGTATTGAGTAGAATTATTATTTAATATTAATTGAATAGCAAGTCCAGGTTGCTGACTCCTCACATTATCATCCATCCTTAGCTATAAAAAGGCAGTTTCAGGGCTTCCCTGGTGGCGCAGTGGTTGAGAGTCTGCCTGCCGATGCAGGGGACACGGGTTCGTGCCCCGGTCCGGGAAGATCCCACATGCCGCGGAGCGGCTAGGCCCGTGAGCCATGGCCACTGGGCCTGCACGTCCGGAGCCGCGACGGGAGAGGCCACAACGGTGAGAGGCCCGCGTACCACAAAAAAGAAATAAAAACAAACAAAAAGGCAGTTTCAGATGGTCTGCCTTGTGTTACCGTAAAGAGAAAAGAGAAGAAGAAAACATTGTGATTGACAACCAAAATGGCTTTTGAATGTGGATCAGAGCTTCCACTATGGCTTACAGGCACTCAATTGATCTTGATAAAGAAGGGACTGGGAATGTGTGCCTTCTGTCCTTAAACACCCATTTCCTAGGTTTAAAGAAAATCTCACATTAGCTGTATAAACGTGAAAGACTTGGGCTTTCTCTAGCTATTTATTATTATCATTTAAAAATTGCTCTGATTCTGTCAATAGCCTTATGTGCTGGTAGGCTCACAAACATGGAGTCAGTGGAGAGATCCTAGGAAAGGTTGAAAGTTTGGTTTGTCTTGCTGCAGTGCTATACCTTTATTCAACTCATACATTCCCCCCTCCTCTTTCTATACCCACAGCGAAGCTGCCGCCCATGCTGTCGCCACCCTGGCTGAGGCCACCTTGCAAGGGGGGGGACAGATAGTCCTGTCTGGGGAAACCGCAGCAGCTGTCGGAGCACTTACTGGAGTCCAAGATGCTAATGGTAAGAGAGCATAAATATTTTATTGAATTTCTTCCCTGTTTCCACTTAAACCTTCATGACATGACTGACAACAAACCCTTCAGAATGAGGTTGAACTTTGATTTGAGTTTTTTTATATTGGTAGGCAATTGATACCTAGGAAAATTCTAGGAGCCTCTGATTCCTTTCACTAGTAGGAGACTTGGGGTTTCCTGGGAGGGAAAAAAAGCCATAATAATGGCTACCTAACTGAATGACTTATTTGAAAAGTGACTATTTGCTGTGACAGTACTTGCTGAGGGATTTTTAAATTTTCCGTGGGGTACATTTTGTCCATTTTCTCCCATGCGGTAGATCAGTGTACTTTACTATAGCTGAGACTCTCCTGTGGGCGAGTGCATTGTGGTAGCGAGGAATGTTCTGACTATCTCGAGAAGGGCACCACCATCTCACCACAAGGTCAGCCAGCAGGCTGTGATAAAGGCGCTTTTCTGATTGATGCTCTGGGTTCTGCTTCCTGTTAAATGTGGCCTCACCAAGGACCTCCGGATTGAGCCAATAACTTGCCACCACCCTGCCCTTCTTTCCCGGCTCTTTGACTTCCTGGATATTGGTGATATCCTGAATAAACAAGAGGGATAAAGTTCATAGACATATGATGACAAAAATTTACGGCTCCAGCCCAGCTCTTTGGATCTACTTCAGCAGGCTCTGGGAGTCAGTAACGAAGTCTTGAGCTGCCCGGGAAGTGCCTCAAAAGTCTGAGTCAAAGAGGAAGACCAGTCCTGTTCTGTGAGACTCTGTGTGACTGTTTATTAAGCTTTTAAAATATACATATAATTAGGTTAAGTAGGACAAATTAACTACTCTATGGTTTTTGGAGATTTGTAGTTTAAAGTCCTGGAAAGAGGATAGATAATGACATACTTTTATTTAGGCAGACTGTTCCTTAATGGCATTTAGTGGCTGAAGGCCTGGCACTTTTTTTAGGGTAGATCCCTAAGAACTAAATAACATGTTAGTTGGTAAGGTCTTTGAAGAAAGACACAATGCTGCATCCTCCTTCAAAAGTGGGGAGAAGAAAGCACTTCTGTCTCCCAGAGAAGAATAACAGGAAATATAAAGAGCCATGTGGCTTCTGAGAATCATTTTCTTAAACAAAAAATCACATATTAAAACTACAGCCTGCTTTTTCTGTAGGGCTAGGGGCTTCCATGAACTAACCCAAATAGAGATAAAGTTGATCTTAGCCAGAACACTGCAAGGTAAAGGGCCATGTATGTTCAGGGTGAAATGGACCATAGTTGGAATTAAGGAAAACCTCCCTCTTGAGCTTGAATCCTACCCCTATTTCCTTATCTTTTTCTATTCCTCATTTCAGTCCTCATCTACCTTGAACAGAAGATATCTGACTGTGTGACATTCTTCTGAAGTGCAATTCCTGTTATTCACTATGGAACTACTAAAAATAATTCCCTGTGTGTGTTTGATGGGAGACTTTGTTATCCCTTCTAGTGGTCTTGACCTGTCCGGGTGAGGAGAAGCTTTATAGTTCTGGCTCCTCCCTAGCCTCACCTTTTCAGGTAGATGAATCTATAGGTAAGTGTAAGGACTCTCTGGGGCTCCCGCCAAGTAGATCTATTCAGCCATGAGATAAAGGTCAACCACACCACTACTGTTGATTCCTGGAAGCTGCTTCTTTTCAGTAGCTTGGGTTGTGTGAATCAGTTGTGTTGACTTCATGTTGTTGGCTGCATTTGTGATAAGAGAAAATTATGATCTACATCCAAAAAGCCAGTGGTTCCCCAAAGCAGACCATTCCCTAGTTTGTGACCTGCCAACATGTGTGAACTCAGACTTGAGAGTTGGATTTACCACTTTCTTGGTGCTATATCAAATCAGACTGTTGAGTTGCGCCTTATCCTAGTAATATTAGGTGAAGGCACATATCATGTCATCTATCCCTTGGGAATCCAGAGGATGAATCTAATATTGGATATGATCCAGGTAATTCTGATGCTCTTTCTGCCTTCTAGCATTTTTACCCAGAGTGCTATAGGATTTACTCTGGGACTTGGAACCAAAATATTCTCATTTAACCAACTAGTTCATCTGTCTGGAATTTCAAGGGTTCTTTTTTCATTATTCTTTCAGATTGTGTCCTATTGGCATTGTTTGTCACTTTTGTCATGACAAGCTTATGGTATCTGCCAGTAGACTAAATTTATTATCAGGAAGATGACAGCAGAACAAGGTGCTATTTGGTAACAGACACTACTGGGGAAAAAAATACATCCCAGATTCCAAAATATGGCTTAAATAAAAATCCTTCTAGCAGATGACTCTTCTAAGAACAATGCGGATATTGACCTGTTCCGACCTGAAGCAGGAGTTTCAGCATCTTCTGGGATGGAACTAGAGGGGATGGAGGACCATTGTGTGTGAAGCTTGACAGAGTACAGTAACCAATGTGAGATGGCTGGGGCAGTGTAGGTCAGTGGTTTTCAAGTTAAGGATAATGATACCTTCATGGCAGAAGTTTAAATTCCAAATTACCAAGGCAGACCGGACAAGAGATCTTGTATCTGAAGACTTCTTTTTTCTGGACCCTATCTCACCCCAACACTAAAGAGACTACTCAAGCACTAGCATTACTCTATTTCATTTATGTTCTCGCTTTTTTTTTTTCTTCTTATTTTAAAATTTTATTTTTTAAAATTTGTTTTATTGAAGTATAGTTGACTTACAATATTGTGTCAATTTCTACTGTGTAACAAATTGATTCAGTTATAATATATATACATACATTCTTTTTCATATTCTTTTCCATTATAGTTTATCACAAGATATTGAGTATAGTTTCCTGTGCTATACAGTAGGACCTTGTTGTTTATCCATTCTCTATATAATAGTTTGCATCTGCTAATCTCAAACTCCCAATCCATCCCTCCCCCACCCCCCCCTTAAGTCGGTTATCTTTTTTTTTTTAAGTTGGCTGTGCTTTTATTAATTTTTTCTGATATTGAAGTTTGCAGTTGGCTGCAGTATTTTTCTTTTTTTCATTTTAACATTTTTATTGGAGTATAATTGCTTTACAATGGTATGTTAGTTTCAGCTTCACAACAAAATGAATCAGTTATATATATATACATATGTTCCTATATCTCTTTCCGCTTGCGTCTCCCTCCCTCCCACCCTCCCTATCCCACCCCTCCAGGTGGTCACAAAGCACCGAGCTGATCTCCCTGTGCTATGCGGCTGCTTCCCACTAGCTATCTGCCTTACGTTTGGTAGTGTATATATGTCCCTGCCTCTCACTCGCTTTGTCACAGTTTACCCTTCCCCCTCCCCATATCCTCAAGTCCATTCTCTAGTAAGTCTGTGTCTTTATTCCTGTTTCACCCCTAGGTTCTTCATGACATTTATTTTTCTTAAATTCCATATATATGTGTTAGCATACGGTATTTGTCTCTCTCTTTCTGACTTACTTCACTCTGTATGACAGACTCTAGGTCTATCCACTTCATTACAAATAGCTCAATTTCGTTTCTTTTTATGGCTGAGTAATATTCCATTGTATATATGTGCCACATCTTCTTTATCCATTCATCCGATGATGGACACTTAGGTTGTTTCCATCTCCGGGCTATTGTAAATAGAGCTGCAATGAACATTTTGGTACATGATTCTTTTTGAATTATGGTTTTCTCAGGGTATATGCCTAGTAGTGGGATTGCTGGGTCATATGGTAGTTCTATTTGTAGTTTTTTAAGGAACCTCCATACTGTTCTCCACAGTGGCTGTATCAATTTACATTCCCACCAACAGTGTAAGAGGGTTCCCTTTTATCCACACCCTATCCAGCATTTATTGTTTCTAGATTTTTTGATGATGGCCATTCTGACTGGTGTGAGATGATATCTCATTGTAGTTTTGATTTGCATTTCTCTAATGATTAGTGATGTTGAGCATTCTTTCATGTGTTTGTTGGCAGTTTGTGTATCTTCTTGGGAGAAATGTCCGTTTAGGTCTTCTGCCCAGTTTGGAATTGGGTTGTTTGTTTTTTTGTTATTAAGCTGCATGAGCTGCTTATAAATTTGGGAGATTAATCCTTTGTCAGTTGCTTCATTTGCAAATATTTTCTCCCATTCTGAGGGTTGTCTTTTGGTCTTGTTTATGGTTTCCTTTGCTGTGCAAAAGCTTTTAAGTTTCATTAGGTCCCATTTGTTTATTATTGTTTTTATTTCCGTTTCTCTAGGAGGTGGGTCAAAAAGGACCTTGCTGTGATTTATGTCATAGAGTGTCCTGCCTATGTTTTCCTCTAAGAGTTTGATAGTTTCTGGCCTTACATTTAGGTCTTTAATCCATTTTGAGCTTATTTTTGTGTATGGTGTTAGGGAGTGATCTAATCTCATACTTTTACATGTACCTGTCCAGTTTTCCCAGCACCAGTTATTGAAGAGGCTGTCCTTTCTCCACTGTACATTCCTGCCTCCTTTATCAAAGATAAGGTGACCACATGTGCGTGGGTTTATCTCTGGGCTTTCTATCCTGTTCCATTGATCTATCTTTCTGTTTTTGTGCCAGTACCATACTGTCTTGATTACTGTAGCTTTGTAGTATAGTCTGAAGTCAGGAAGCCTGATTCCTCCAGCTCCGCTTATCGTTCTCAAGATTGCTTTGGCTATTCGGGGTCTTTTGTGTTTCCATACAAATTGTGAAATTTTTTGTTCTAGTTCTGTGAAAAATGCCATTGGTAGTTTGATAGTTTGCATTGAATCTGTAGATTGCTTTGGGTAGTATAGTCATTTTCACAATGTTGATTCTTCCAATCCAAGAACATGGTATATCTCTCCATCTATTTGTATCATCTTTAATTTCTTTCATCAGTGTCTTATAATTTTCTGCATACAGGTCTTTCGTCTCCTTAGGTAGGTTTATTCCTAGATATTTTATTCTTTTTGTTGCAATGGTAAATGGGAGTGTTTTCTTGATTTCACTTTCAGATTTTTCATCCTTAG